TTTTTGAGATGGAGTCTTGCTGTGTCGCCCAGGCTGGAGTGCAGTGGCCGGATCTCAGCTCACTGCAAGCTCCGCCTCCCAGGTTCACGCCATTCTCCTGCCTCAGCCTCCCCAGTAGCTGGGACGACAGGCGCCGCCACCTCGCCCGGCTAGTTTTTTTGTATTTTTTACTAGAGACGGGGTTTCTCCGTGTTAGCCAGGATGGTCTCGATCTCCTGACCTCGTGATCCGCCCGTCTCGGCCTCCCAAAGTGCTGGGATTACAGGGGTGAGCCACCGCGCCCGGCCTGTCATGTGGTTTTGTTCTTGTTCCCAACAACACCCTCAACTCCACACTGTCTGTTATTCATGATGGATGGAAAGCTGTGTGTAGGTATACAGCTTTCTTGCAATTATTATTATTATTATATTATTATTTGATACAGAGTCTTGCTCTGTCACTCAGGCTGGAGTGCAGTGGTGCGATCTCGGCTCACTGCAACCTCCACCTCCCAGGTTCACGCGATTCTCCTGCCTCAGCCTCCCGAGTAGCTGGGATTACAGGCGCCTGCCACCACGCCTGGCTAATTTTTGTATTTTTAGTAGAGACACCAACATGGTTTCTCCATGTTGGCCAGGCTGGTCTCGAACTCCCGACCTCAGGTGATCTGCCCACCTCGGCCTCCTGAACTGCTGGGATTACAGGCTGGGGTGCAGTGGTGCAATCTCGGCTCACTGCAACCTCCACCTCCCGGGTTCAAGCGATTTTCCTGCCTCAGCCTCCCAAGTAGCTGGGATTACAGGTGCCCCCCACCACGCCCGGCTAGTTTTGTATTTTTAGTACAAACGGGGCTTCACCATGATGGCCAGGCTGGTCTTGAACTCCCAACCTCAGGTGATCCGCCCACCTCGGCCTCCCAAAGTGCTGGGATGACAGGTGTGAGCCACCGTGCCCAACCACGTGAGTTTTTTAGTGGTGAATTCTGAGATTTTGTTACACCCATCCCCCGAGCCATGTGCACTGTACTCAATATGTACTGTTTTTAAAAAATTATTTTATTTTATTTATTTATTTTTGAGACAAAGTTTGCATCTGTTGCCCAAGCTGGAGTATAGTGGCACCATCTTGGCTCTCTGCACCCACCACCTCCCCAGTTCAAGCAATTCTCCTGCCTCAGCCTCTTGAGTAGCTGGGATGACGGTGCCTGACTAAATTTTGTACTTTTTAGTACAGATGGGATTTCATCATGTTGGACAGGCTGGTCTCAAACTCCTGACCTCGGGCGATCTGCCCGCCTCGGCCTCCCAAAGTGCTGAGATGACAGGTGTGAGCCATCATGCGCGACTTTTCTTTTTCTTTTCTTTTTTTCCCTTTTCTTTTTCTTTTTTTTTTTTGACAGTCTTTTATCCCTCACCCACCTCCCACATTTCACCCTGAGTCCCCAAAATTATTTGTCTCATTCGTACGTCTTTGCATCTTCGTATCTTAGCTCCCACTTGTAAGTGAAAACATCCAATATATTTTTTTTCATTCCTGAGTTCCTTCATGTAAAACGGTGGCCTCCAGCTCCATCCAAGTTGCTGCGAAGGCATTTTTCTTTCTGTTTTATTCCATGGAGAAAACACCAAATCGAACTAGCTTGGTCACGAGAGGCTGAGATGAGACCTGAAGGATGAGAAGAACCTGGTTTATGTGAAAGAAACAGCACGCTGGCCGGGTGCGGTGGCTCACGCCTGTCATCCCAGCACTTTGGGAGGCCGAGGCGGGCGGATCACAAGGTCAAGAGATCGAGACCATCCTGGCTGACATGGTGAAACCCCGTCTCTACTAAAACTACAAAAATTAGCTGGGTAGGGTGGCGTGCACCTGTCGTCCCAGCTACTTGAGGCTGAGGTAGGAGAATCGCTTGAACTGGGAGGCGGAGGTTGCAGTGAGCCAAGATCCTGCCAGTGCCCTGCAGCCCGGGTGACAGAGTGACAGGCCATCCTAAGAAAAGAAAAAAAAAAAA